GTAACCTTCAGCCACGCCCCCGCTGACACACAACACCCAATGAGAACGTACCTCAATTAGCATATCATTAGCCCGTTACTGGCACCTCATTATTCAGGGGTCGGAACCCGAGGGACTCCAGGGTCTGCGGACAAGACAAACAACAGCCCCGCCCCATGCCGCTTGGCCCTGCCCTACTGCCGCTGGCTCTGCCCCTGCTCCCTGAGCCCCTCTTTCCCTACAGACCCATTTTGCCCCTCACCGCGTTGCCTGCCAGGGAACAGTGCTTCTGAGGATTCACCCATGGCTCCTTTACCATAGTATTTGCATCTCTTTTGCATCTCATTAGCATACCAGGAGCCTCTAACTGCTTCCTGAGCCCAACCACAACACAGATCTCAACTCTAAGGAGCATCAGGACACCCGAGGCTGACACCGTAGCTGTCTTGGCACCTCAACCGCAGCGGGCAGCTTCTGCCCTCGGGCTTTGGCACGTGGAGCATCAGCCCTCTGTCCTGACCACGTCCCCTCCCTGACAGTGTGTGCCCAGTTGAGCACGGGCAACGCTCATGACACGTGTGGGGCACCCACAGAGCTGGAGATGAGGGTGCTTGGGGATGCATAATCCCTCTGCGGTGGGCGAACTGTGGGATTCGGATGGGATTCGGATGGTCTCCTTGGGCCTCTGCGCACAATGGCATTAGGGCATTAGGGCAACAGGCATACAGGCATGAGGGCATTAGGGCAACTTCACTAGACCTCCGTGCTCAGTGGGCAGGGAGGGCACTACAAGCATTTGTACGGCCTCCCTGGACCTCCGGCCTTTCGTGCGGACTCCCTGAGTCTCCGTGTGCACGTGGCCCTGGGGTACCTCGGGGCATTCGTGCACCTACTCTGGGCCTCACGTGCAATGGGTCTTGAGTGCACTATGAGATTTCATGTGGCATCCCTGGGCCTCCTTGCGCACGAGGCTCAAGGGGCCATCTGGTCTTTCATGCAGCCTCCCCAGGTTCCCCTACCCACTGTGCCCCATGAGTACAGTGCCTCCTATGTACTTTCTAAATGCTTCTTCACACACTCTCCATGGTCGCATCGAGGCAGCAGTTAAATCACCTCCTTTATCCCAGATAACTACCCCTAACACATCGCATGCAGATGGATTGTAAATCGCTGTTTCCCTTTTTTTTCTACAGTTTTCTATGCATTGGAAAAGTCTTAACAAATTACCCTCTGAATTTCCCCCTTTTTTCCCCCGCTCTCTCTATTATATGCTGCATTACTTGGAGCACCTGGTGCTGCTCATTTGTCATGGTTCCCCCCGTGGTTCTCGGCAGCGTGGCTCCCGGGAATACAACCCCACTGCGGTTACTAGGGCTTCTYGTGTGGCTCCCATGAGTACCCTTGCTTGGTTCCTAGAGATTCTTCTGTGCAGCTGCAAAGTGACGTTTTCCTCCCGTCATTCTGCCGAGCGCTCCCCACCRTACGATCTCCCCCAATCGTCTATTCAAGCCCATCATGTGTGGCAGAGGCGATAAGGAGCGGGGGATTAAAGGTCCAATGGTGATTGTTTTGTATTCTGCAAGTCCTTATATACCTTAMCAAGACTGATCATGCAAGCTAAAACACATACGCTACACATCCATTCTGCCAATCATAGCTTGCCAGGTTCGCAGATCTAAGGGTATCATCCATTCCTTTGTAAGATTACGTATAAGGTCTTGGATACAATACATTTTTTTGCCTATAAGCAAGTGAAACACAGCTCGTAAGAATCACGTCAGCACTATCCAGTCAGCTTCATGGTGTCACAGAGGCTGGACAGCTGTCTTTGGTTTTGGTCTGCTGATGGAACAAGGCACTGCCATCCCTGTAGTTAGTTATTTACTAATATGGCATCTTGTTTGCGGATACCAACTGCACTGCGATCTTTAATGGGGCCTCCACATAAAGGGGCCTCCTCCACCTCCTGCTCCTCCCATGCTTCCTCTGGCATTTCTTTCAGGGAGAAAGGCACCTACAGGGCAAGACAAAGGCTCCTCCTACTGGATCCTCTTGCCTCCTTGTCCCAATCCACTGTTGGGGGAGGTTTCGATACGATCCTAAGAGCGATATTAAGACACAAAYGAGGTCAAATGTCACACAACCTTATAAGCTCTATTTTCATAATAGTGATAAGACAGAGAGAAGAAGAAAAAAAAAAAAAGAAAACAAAAAGAAGAAGAAAGATAAGCAAGCAAGCAGGAGAGAGGCAGCAAGATTAGTTACCACCACCACCAGTCGAGTTATGTTTCGTCGTCTCTGCCTCGGTGCAGGTGATGATTTTCTTGGAAGAGAGTTGAGAAGAAGGAAAAGAAGCTTCCCTCTTTGCACGCATCTGTTTTAAAAAGGACGTCCTACAAATGGGACCTCAGAACTCTGCTATAATTGTATATTTCTTTATCCATTTGGCATACTTGCAAGAAAAATCTAACTTCCCAGTATGCAAAAGCCTAATTTTCATAACAAAATTAACTTATGTGCATTGTTCAAAATGACTGGAACCCAGCTATGCATCCTTAAAAGTAGGATCAGCAAAAGAGGAACTCTTAACTAAACAATATCAGAAYGTGATCCAATCTATCCAATCTACTAACCAATCACAGTAAAAAGGCTTTTACTCCTTTTTCCGCCTCCTCCACCACCTTCTCCTCCTCCACCTACTCCTCTGCCTCCTCCTAAGCCTCCTCTTCCTCCTCGTCCTTGTCCTCATCCTACTCCTCCACTACCGCCTTTCCTCCACCTCCTCCTCCTCCTCCTCCTCTTCCACCTTCTCTGGCATTTCTTTCAGGGAGAAACGCTCCTACAGGACAAGAGAAAGTCTTCTCATGCTGGAGCCTCTTGCTTCCTTCCCATACTCACCACTTCTCCTCCTCCAATGCGGAGCCAGCCTGCCACTCCTCAAGGACCATTGCCTTTCTTTGCACTTACCTCAACAAACGTCTCCTCTCCTTCCTTGCCATAGCACATTCACTAAATGGAAAGAGCACATCATTTAAAAAGGACATTCTGCAAGTTCAACTCTACATCTAGGCCATCTTTACATACATCTCTATAAACTGGGTAGACTTGGAAGGAAAATCTAAATGCCAAGTAGATTAAAGAGGACATTTTATAAAAAAAACTCATTTATGTGCAATGCTTAAAATGACAATGACCAGCTCAATATCCTTCCAAGGTATCTCTGCAAAGGGCGAACTCTTAAATTTGAAAYACTATAATGTCATGCAAATTACTAACGAAACACAGTAAAGAGGTTTTTACTTGCCTGCCTCTACCTCCTCCTCCTGGGGCCTGTTGCACACGGAGGTCCAGGAAGGCCGCATGAAAGCCTGCAGTGCCCCCATGGACAGCTGCTGACGGAGGTCCGGGGAGGCCGCGCGAAAACCAGCTGTGCACGGAGGCCCAGGGAGGCCACACAAAAGCCCGGAGGGCCCAGGGGGCCATGCGCACACGGAGGCCCTGGAAGGCCGAACAAAAGCCTTGAGGGCCGGGGCGCGTGCTGTGCACGGAGGTCTGGGGAGGCCGCACGGATGCCCAGAGGGTCGGGAGGCCAACGATGCCTAGCGGCTCAGGGAGGACACACAAAAGCCCCGAGGGCCCGAGGGGCCAGCCGCACACGGAAGTCCTGTGAGGCCACACGATATCCTGGAGGACCCGGTGGGCCAGTAGCACACGGAGGCCCGGGGAGGCCACACGAAAGCCCGGAGGGCCCGTGGGACCAGTAGCACACAGAGGCCCAGGGAGTCTGCACAAAATTCTGGAGGGCTCGGTGGGGCACGCGCACAAGGAGGCCTGGGAAGATAGCCGGAAAGCCTGGAGGGCTCAAAGGGCTAGCTGCACACGGAGGACAGTGAGTCTGCATGAAAGCCC